TTCTGGTGGAGGGTGCCAAAGCAGAGTGATGAAAGGTTGACAGCTTCGAACATTTCTTAACATAAATATCCAGAAATAAGCTTTCTTAGACGATCCGCTGGCCTTACGCGTCTCGACATGGTCGGAATACAGACATCCGCGAGAGCCTTGGTGTACAGCCGCTGCTTCTTCGGATTGAAAAGTCACAGCTATGATGGGTTTGGTATGTGTTGCGAATGTCTCTAGAATAGAAGGTGAAGCAACTATTTCTTGTCCAGCTGGCCAGCCTAAGGCCCAGAGGATCGCAAAGTTTAGCCTGGTGTAAGTGCATGGATGAAACTTGCTCTAGACTCGAGTTGCCTTCTGCCGAAAGTCAGACTCTGATGCAGTGGAAGCACTGTCTGATGCGGCTGGCTGTGCAACCCGAAAGGAGAAGCGGTCACTGAAAATTAAAATGGTTAACTCGATATCTTCAAGACAGTGTCACCCATGTAGTGCCATTTGTGTATTCTAACTGAACTTAAATTTTTCAATTGTCTTCATATCCTCTGAATACGGTTGTTCGAGAGATTAAAGATTCAGTTTTGATTGCCTTGATATTCATTTGGTTTTATTAGAAGGTACTTCACATCTTAACGTAAGCATTGAAAACCCATTTGATATGATCCGCAAACAGCAGCTGATTAGGTCGAACATAGCCAATTTCGATATTCTGGTTACCATAAAATGAAAAGCATACAGCACGCACCTTTCTGAACGGTAGTGACTTCTTCTCGTTACCATTTATTTCAAGGAAACGAGAATCTAATTGATTGCCACCTAGTACCTAGGCATTGCTTCCATATTTCTGCTATACTCGATGCAACTTCGACCGGAGCATTTAGCCATAATTACTTTCTAGGTCTATAAAGCAAGCATATGAGCTTTCCGCAATGTCATCGTCTTTCACATAAGCACACACACTCACACAGCGGCGGGTACATTTTACTTTATAAATGCGATAATAAAGATTAAGTTAGTAGGTGAAATTGAATTTCAAATATTGGGATTAAATTTCAAGCGTGGCAAACTTTCCTACTAACCGCTAGTTATCCTGAGCCACAAATTCATTCCACCCGCATGGGTTTTGATGAAACCAACCAAAACTAGCAGGAAATCATTGAGCATGGTGCTCTGGATGGTCATACCAGAGCTGGCCATTCTGAGCTGTCTAATGTATGCAACATAGCTCTAGTTCATTACTTAATTAATCTATATAATAGCAGAAGTTGTAAAGCATAAATTAAAAACAAATACGAAATGTAGCAGCACTGAGGTATCTATGTTTGTACCTCTGGTTTCCCGAACGTGAATTATGTTAGCAACATTGCATTTTTTGCCCTTCTTCAAGGTCGTACTAGTCTTCTTCTAAGGGTGCAACACTGAATAAGCTGCGCGTCAAAAGTTTTTGGAAAAACATAATTGTAAAGAACGTGAGAACGGGGCTTGTTGCAATGTTCATGTTCATTAACCTCACACGTTTTCAAAGGTTAAAAACGA